GGCACAAGAGTGCCCTATATCCTGAATTTGCCTTTTGGTCAATAATGATGGAACACCATTGTCACGTCGGTATTTTTGTCAGTGATTACTTGTCACCTACATAACAGTTAATGAAAAGCACAAAGAAAACATGAATGACCTAAGCTTGATACAACTGACAAATTATACAAGATAATATGGTACTTTAGCTTAACCGAGAATCTGAATTTAATGTACATTTTTCTATAGATGGAAGATAATACTCTACAATGAAGAAACCAGAAAAGTAAAAACAATCTGCTTTACAGCTTCTAGGATGACTAATTTCCTCATTCAAAATGATTATTCAATTCAGAATTTACTATCACAACAGAACGTACTTTGCAGTTTAGAGTGATTTGATATATCACGGAAAGTAAAGTAAAAGATGCCCTCAAATAATCTCATATTTTATTAAAAAAAAAGTGAAAATCAATATTTTATTATCCGATGTTTTCTGGTATTAAGATCTGATATTNCCGGTTTGCTCACTGGGTGAGCGTGGTGCTGACAACACCAGGTCAAGGGTTAAGATCCCCTCACCAGTCATCTTAAAAACAAAACAAAACAAAACAAAAAAACCAAAAAAAACCCCCCTGATAATTCATATGAAAATTAAGGTACTTTATTGAAAAACTGTATATAGTACTTCAATAGTCAAGGCATTTATTGATCAATAGTCAATATATAATTAGATAATTCAAACTAACAGTTACAATAAGAGTTTTATCCTACAAATAAAAGACAAAGCACTCTAACTTATTAGGCCACAAATGCTTCATTAGATAAAGTTACAAATGCTAATTACAATTTAAAATACTAAATGCAACATGGATTTTTCCAGTATTGTTTTATGCTTAGAAGTCAAATATAAAGAAAATACTATATAATCAGAGCACTAAATTAATTTTTAAATTTTCTAGTAGGATAAATTCCAAAGGTAAAAATTCCGTTTATTCTTACAAAAATGTTTACCACTATATGCTTTAGAAATGTAAAAACAATTAGCACCATATAAATGCAAACTAAACAGGACCAAAAGTGAAATAGAATGTACTGCAAGCCAGCAGATCTTACTACCAGACTGAAGAAAGAAGGTTGTTCCTACAATGGTAAGAATTCTCGATCACAATATTCTGTGTGGAATGTTTTTTTAAAAAAGAGAACTGAATTTCACAAGGTATATCTCATTTAAAATAAAGCAAATTTTAGGCACAAGAGTGCCCTATATCCTGAATTTGCCTTTTGGTCAATAATGATGGAACACCATTGCCACGTCGGTATTTTTGTCAGTGATTACTTGTCACCTACATAACTGTTAATGAAAAGCACAAAGAAAACATGAATGACCTAAGCTTTATACAACTGGCAAATTATACAAGATAATATGGTACTTTAGCTTAACCGAGAATCTGAATTTAATGTACATT